TTTCCAGCTGCTGAGAGGCAGTCTTTGCGCGGTAGGGGACGCAGAGGTTGTCGCTCTGCGCGTAAACTCCCTCGGGTGTCGTCGTCTAGCTCTGCGGCCTTCTGGCTTGGACTGCCTCTTCCGCGGTCACTCTGAGGACGCTCCCTTGAGCAGCGTTGTCGTCTGAGGTACAGATTTTGTCTCCAGAAGAGCAGGTGGGGTTGTTCTTGTCTCAGTGGACAAATGTGCAGACGTACGGCCGGGGCAAGCGTGTGCGGCCCTGCAGAGCTGACTGGGTGGGTTCCTGTGGTCCAGTTCCTCGTTCACTTGGGGAAGAAAGAGTTATTCTCACAGCTTATGCTTTGTCTTGTCAGCTGTCCCGTTCCTGTCTCTGCTGAGGGGTATGGCTTACAGGAAAGCATGTTTAGGTTTTCACTGAACGTTTGCTCAGTGAAATGTTGGCGCAACACACATCTCTTGGGGGAGAAGAGAAGAGTTCAGGTTCAGCAGGTGTTTCCTTCCCAAATTAACATCAGGGTTACTGCTCTTCACCTCCGGATATGGGTGATGCGGGTTTCAGGCACTTTCAGCGCCGGGAGAGCGGCCCCCCGGGACCCCCCTTGAGCTGATCTCTCCTCTGGGGGCACTGGTGCTGCACCCGGGGCTGGTCCCCGAGGGGTTCCGCACCTCCACCTCCAAATGGGACTTCCAGAACCTCCTGCTGCAGGAAGCTCCAGCTCTGACCCGCGGGCCCCTCCCAGCTGCAGCGGGTGTGAATCTTGCTTCCCTGGTCCTGCCGAAGTTGATCAGGGACCCTCGCCTGCAAAGAGTTTCTGTCCGCCCCTTCGGGAAACTGGTCGACGTTTGGTGAAGAGGGTGCAGGGGTGCCGGGGCCCATCGCTGGATGCCGCTGACAGGGACCGGAGAGAGCTGCGTGCCAGAGTGAAACTGCAGACCCGCGTCTGGACCACAGCATCGCCTCCATGAAGATAACCGTGCTGGTGCTCAAAACCAGCCGGTGCACAGACACGCTGGAAGCCAGCCTCGCAGCCCGGCCCAGAACAGCCTGAGTCATGCCTAAATGCGGTTTCCAGTTTCGAAGCGTGATCTAGCCGGTCTCCTGACATCTTATGATAAATTACGATATATTATCAGGGTAAATGAAGCCTGGAAAATCAGAGACTTCGTGAGGAGTCGCTGCAAACTGAGCGGTGAGAAATACTGTGGAGGGGAGAGAAAAAATGAAGGGAAAAACATTTTAAATGGTATTGATTTTAATGAAAGGGGAGTTTCCAGGATGGTCTCAAAACTCAGGATGTCACGTCGGGGAAGGAGTTGAGTCTCCCTCAAATCAGGGAGGGGGGTGAGGCTTTTATTCACAAGTCTGCAAAATGTAAATACTTTGTAACTAAATGCAGATTTTGTCCTGGTGAGACTTGAATCAGCTGAAATTTTAACCCTGAAGCCGGCCATTTTCTCTGCCTGCTGCCTCGTTAGGAACCCCGCCGTGTTCTAGGCGCCGGGGCCCAGTTACTGTGCCCGCATCCCCTGGGGATGTGGACGGCCCCCCAGGGACTGGATGCACACGTTACCGCAACTGAGAGAACTAGCTGTTACTTGTAGATCTCCGGTGAGACTGGGGCACTTATGGGTTCCCAGGCTGACCCGCTGGAGACAGTGAAGGATGCTCCCCAGGACTGCCCCTCTGGGGACGAGAGGGGACAGAGGTGGCTGAGCCCCCCAGGCCCAGAGTTCCCCCGCATCCCGCCCTGGGAGGCTGCGGCCTGCTGGCCAGGCCTCATCGCTCACTCAGCCTCCGTCAGCGAGGCTGCTGGTTGTGGGAGTGACCGGCCCAGCTCGCCAACAACGTAGCATCCCCTCTTCTAGGACCTCGTGAATTCTGGCGCTTTTCCTTAAAGACTCTGTCTGCTTCCTGGGGTTATCACAGCAAAGTACGCCAAACTGGTGGCTTAAAACCAGAGAAGGGTTCTCCTCCCTCGTGGTTCTGAAGGCCAGAAGTCAGAGACCGAGAGATCAGCAGAGGGATCAGCAGAGCCGCGCTGGAGGCCCCAGGGGGCCTCCCTCTCGGCTTCCAGAAATTCCTTGGCTCTGATGGCATAAATCCAGTCTGGCCGTGGAGTTGTTCCTGTGTGCACAGCTGTTTCTTCTAAGGACACCATTATGTTCGGCTAGGGCCACCCTACCCCAGTGTGACCCCTCTTAACTAATTACACCTGCAATGACGCAGTTTCCAAATAAATTTGCATTATGGATACTAGGGGTTAGGACCTCAATATGGGAATTCGAGGGGACACAGTTCAACCCATAACAGAAACCAGATCGATTTGGTGTAGACAATCTAAGAATCAGATGTTGGAGTGTTCAGACTGACTGGCTAGCGCAGCTGCCTTCCTGTGGCTGTGCTGGAAGGAGGAGGTGCGTGTGCATGAGAGTGAGTGAGTGAGAGGGTGAGAGAGTGAGTGAAAGAGTGGATGGGTGGAAGGATGGGTGGGTGGATGGGTGGGTGGGTAGATGAGTAAATAAATGAGTGAATGAATGAGTGAGTGAGTGGGTCCATGGCTGGAGGGAAGAGAAAGCCCCTGGGGGCCCCAGCACCCCACTGTTTGCAGCCCAGCAGGACCGCGGAGAGCAAGAAACAGCCTCTCTGTGTGGCCGGCTGGCGTGTCCTAGCTTTTCCTTCATCCTCTTCCTGGCAGTTACAGCTTCATGGTTTCACTTTCCTCGGAACAAACAGCCTGTGATCACCCTGCCAGATGCAAGGCCGAGCTCCTGGCCCCGATGGGGCGAGGGGACTGCTCAAGAGCAGCCTGCTGGGGGCAGCAGCCCAGGGGAGATCAGCTTCCAGGCCACGTGGCATCTGGTCGCCCCCCAGAGCCTGGGAGCACCCCCTTCCCGTGAGCCTCTGGGCCCACGGCCTCGAGTGGTGACCGCCACTTTTCTGCATGTCACCACGGGCAGGGCAGGTGACCCTCCTCTGCCGCAGGACACAGTTCCCAGGGAGTCCTGAGGGGTGACCAGGGAGGTGCCAGGGTCCCAGCACGTGTTGTGAGCCCATGAGATTCCTGAACCTGACGTGTTCCCCCGCTTCTCGACCACGGAGTCGGGGGACGGGGGACCTTCAGGCCGTGGCTGGTAGCTGCCCTTCGCTCTGAACCTGTCTGCAGACGGCACACCCTGACTTTGCTGGGGGCCCTCCGCGACCATCTGTTCCCGTCTGAATGACGTCTGAGGTTGAAATGGGCCCACAGGAAAATCAGCGAAGCAAACTGAGATTGTCTAGAACGCAGAGTCCTTGCTTTAAAAGTGGACTGTAGTCCTCATACGTGTTACGTGTGGACCATCGCAGACGACTCGGGGCAGATTAGTGCCCTGAATGTGAACAGAGGGAGTGGAAGCACCATCATACGGGTGCTCAGCTCGCCTCCAGACCCATCAACGTGGGACGTCGGTGATTTTCTTCAGCCTCGGTTTCCCCTCCTGTGGAAGGCGGGTACCAGCAGCTCCCTCGCCGGGTGACCGTGAGGACTAAATGCGGTCAGGGCCCTGAGGGCTCCCCCAACAGGGCTGCACACGGAGTAACCTCCCTCCCCGCCCCCCCCCCGTGGATCATAGCATCAGCCCCCCTCCGCCCGCCCGTCCCCTCACAAAATGCCGTGCTCAGAGACGTCAGTGAACGCTCGTCCGAAAGCGAGGATCCCCTCCGGAGAGGAAGTCACGGTTCTCGCGAGTTAGTGTGAGAATCAGACCAAGCGTGTTTTCTTGCTGCGAGGACTCAGGTAAAACTGAGCTCCTGAGCACCCAGGGTTTATGGAATTTGTTGCTAATATTGAAGAGATTTACGTTTTCCTGATAGCCCTGCAGATTTAATCTGATCACGACAAGACACTCAGAATACCTTGCCGTTTCAAGGACAACTTGATTATGCGGGTGAAAATTAGACCTTTATTCACCGCAGCCTTTAGACTTTGGGTGCCAATCGATTTAATTCGTTCTGTGCAGTTCCTTCAGCCGCCCCTGCAAATGTGTCGGCCGAGGCTGTCAGCTCCACCCAGATTCTGCTGACGTGGGCTTCGGTGCCGGAGCAGGACCAGAACGGGCTCATCCTGGGCTACAAGGTAGGTGGGGAGGGGCCCTCCTCTGTTTATGCTGTGAAGGTGCCACCAGCCGTCACCCCTCAAACCAGCGAGCTCCTGTTTTCTGAGATCTTCTCCAGCCCTGGCCCGGTTCCTGACTTTCACGTCTGTTCTCTCATCTAAGCTTCATGACCGCGTGGGGCTTAGGCATTGGTGTGACCCCAACAGGCCAGAACAGGGACTCAAGCGCTGACCCGTTTCCCGGCTTGTGCGAGGGGGTGACGACGGTAGCCCCCTCGCAGGGCTGGCGCGAGAATGAAGCGGGTTCTCCTGTGAAGTGCCGGTTCCGTCATTAGAGACCTGCACGCGTGTCTGCATGGGTGTCACCGCCACCCTGGCCCGGCCCGGGCAGTGGCCCCCACCGTCAGGGTCGGACACCTGCCAGCTTCTCTGGGAGCCGTTTCTGGATTTAGTTTTGCCTGCATTTACCTGGACCCTTAAAAACCTGCTCTGTTCTTGCTCCATCACCATCCGGGCAGCAGAATGAAGCCCTTGCATTTGTCCAGGAAGGCCCAGCGGTCTTGTGCGCAGCCGCACAGCCTCCTAGCAGGCCTTCTCCTCCATGCTTTCCGGCATCTGTCCTGTTTCCCGACCTGTTCTCACGCCCCGCCCCGGGCACTCTAATCTGCCCCTTGTGGCCCCGGCAGACGTGAGGATCCCACCGAGTGGGTTCCATGGCCAACACGCCACGCCCCTCCCACACCTGACCCTGGAGCGAAGCGCTTGCCAGACTGTTTTCACACTCCTCCGTGCTGACCCCTGTCTCTCCCAGCCTTCCAGTCACTGGTCTTAGGGGCCAGTTCAGAGAAGGTGGCCCTAGGGAATGAGGAGGAGCAGGTGGGCCCTGGGGGGTGCCTCTCAGGATGGCCCTGTGGGCAGTGCGTGGCTGGAGGTGGGGCCTCAGTTCAGGTAGATAACAGTCTCCCCATAAGCCAGCAACTGGGAGGGCAGTTGGCTCCCTTTGCAGGAAGCAGGATGTGTCTGGTTCATACCAAGTCCTCGTTTTAATGGCTGCTGCTGGGAGCCTCAAAGCCTGCAAATTACAGCAGGGAGTCCCGCCGCCCAGCCCAGCCTTGGGCAGGGCCATAGCTCCAGCCCCAACTGCTATATCGCCATCTTTTCCCCAAAATGCCAGCAAATAGGAGTTAGACTCACAGCCCCTCCACACAGCGGCCCTGGGGGAGGACACTCGGTTGCCGGGTCCTGGCCGTGTGGTCCCCAGGCCCCTCCTGCACACGGCATCCCCGTGACCTGACTCCCCTGCCTTCTGTGTCGATGCTCAGATTCTGTTCCGGGCCAAAGACCTGGATCCTGAGCCCAGAAGCCACGTGGTGCGAGGGAACCACACGCAGTCGGCGCTGCTGGCGGGTCTGGGGAAGTTTGTGCTGTACGAACTCCAGGTGCTTGCGTTCACCCGCATCGGGAATGGGGTCCCCAGCGCACCCCCCATCCTGGAACGGACCAAGGATGACGGTACGTGTCCCCTCGCGCCTCCACCCGCCTCCCGGCTTTGCCTTCGCGACCCAAGCCGTGTGGGTGGTTGTCACGTTTAAGTTTCTTTTCAAAACACTTGTTCCTTCTTTCAGCAGAGGGAAACAAAACAACGTTGATCTGGGGTCACTGAGCACTCCTCTGGCCTGCTGCGGCCGGAGTGGGCGTTCCGGCCCGACCTGAGCCTGTGCGGAGTTTCCGTCGCGGCTCTACTGGGGGCCGCGTCCGCCCTCAAGGCCGGGCCGGGGTGGGGGGTCGGGCAGGAAATTCGGGACCGCCTCGTTGGCGGTGTCGGCACAAATCTGGCTGAAGGCACCCACTCCCACCCGAGTGCCTCCTTGCTCTCGCGTGTGCGTGACGAGAGATCATCAGAGGTTCTGCACGGGATGCGTCTGCTGGGTCCCCGGCCCCAGACCCCGTCCCCGCCTGAGTAACAGGCACGCCTTGACGACGACGTCATCAGTAAGTGTGTCCCTCTCCTTCGCAGACGTCAAGTACCTAGAGGTCAGCGCCTTTACGTGTTCGTGGTAGACTGTGACACGTATTCTCCCCCCAAAACCCACTGCGGGGATCAGAAGCAGCTGACGGACGTGAAACCGCCAGAGATTTCCTGAAGCATCTTTACTGAAGTCATTAAATCAGCCCCCAAGCGCACTGGACCGCAGTCTCTCTGTTTTGCTGGGCTTCCCCTGGGTCGGGGGCAGGGAGGCCACCTCGATCATCGTCCTCCCGTGAGGACAGGTCTCAGGGCAGCTGGGCTCTGAGAGGGAGCGTGTGACCTGAAGAGCATTTCTTTGCAAAACTATATGGTGTGTCTAGAGTCACACAGGTGAAAAGTTAAAGGGGCGTTTGAGTAACCGTTCCTCACACTCCGTCAGTTGTAACACAGCCTTGGCTGGTGAGTCATGGAAAGATTTCTGTTTTTCTCTCACACACAGTCCTGAAATAAATGTGTTCCCTTCTCCACATTTCAGTGTGACGCAGGGACCACCCTTGGGGACAGTGAGGGGGCAGATGCCACGCAAGACTGACATCAGAGTTTCGTATTTGTGGATTGGTCCTGGCACATGAGCCCATGGCCTCCTCCTTACCCAGGGCTCACAGCACACGTTTACAATTTAAAATACTCTTCTCAACTTAAGAGCAGGAGGCAGAATCAGCAGCCCTGGAGTGACTGTAACACATGTCGTTTTAATTCTGTATTGATTGTTCCACACTCGTGGCCTCTTACCTGGGAGTCAGCCAGCCATTAAGTTCCAGCAGGAAGTCCCCAAGCTGGGCGCACGCCGACGCGCCTGTCCGTTCAAGTAAATGCATTTTACGAGGGCCTGCTATTCGAAACATAACTGGTTTTGAATCGCCGATGTATCGGACCACGCAGCAGGACTAGCGCCCACGTCTGTGGACGTCAGCTCTTGGTTTTCTGGGCCAGCGCGGGAGAGGGGTGGTGTGCCCAAGGGAGAAGCCGCTGATTACAACCGTGTCATTTGGCTAATCACTGTAGCCTCCTTTTGTAGTTGGGAGGGGCCTGTGGCCTCCTTATTGATCTGACAGCTGCTTTGTGGGTGTCCAGCCCAGGAGAGGAACAGCTCAGTCCAGCGGAATCTCTTCTTTGACGCGGGGCGCCCTCTACAAAGCCACTTCGCAGCTGGTCAGCGAGACTCACGCAGCTCGCGCTCACGGGCCCCCCAGCGCAGTTCCCGGGCGCTGCTCTCGAAACCTGGAAAGTGGATGAGCCGGATTCAAAATGAGGAGTTTCCTCAACATTAGGGAGACACACAGATTCCAAACACCATTTTGTTACCAGGTCCAAGCTCCCGCTGCTCACCAGACGACCAGTAAATCAGGAGAGAGGCACTAGGGCAGGGAATAACGATTTTATTCAGAAAACCAGCAGACTGAGAAGGTGGGGGACTCGTCCTGGAGAACCATCTTCCTCAAGTGAGAATTTAGGCTCCTTTTGTACTGAAAAGGGGAGTGGGTGTAGCTGGTTGTTGCAAATTTCTTGGTGTCGGAGTCCTTTGTTCTTGCAGCCGTCCTCGTGGGCCAGGTCGTGGGGTCCCTGTAAACGTCCAACAAGACACATGTTATTCTATGTTCTGCAACTTTTTATCTCTATATGAAGGAAAAGTGTCAGACCCTTAAAGGTCGGAGCCTTGAGAATGGGCTGTCCTGTCTGTTTCAGGCTCTAGGTGACATTCTTCTACAAAAGGTGCAGAACCAGCAGGACTCAGCCCAGGAAACAGAGCCCAGGGTTAGAGCCAAAGGAACAGGTCTAATATGGAGTCACATTTGTTCTTCCCTATTACAATTTTCCCAAAACTTGGAGTGACTCGCCTGTAAGTGGTGTCACTGTGACTGTGCTCGGCCAGCCGGCGGCATCCTGCGTCGCCACGTCACACGCCCAGATAACGTCCTAGTGGAGCCTGCATCACTGTCTTCTCTCCCCCCAGCCCCAGGCCCCCCCGTGAGGCTCGTGTTCCCGGAGGTGAGGCTGACATCTGTGCGGACCGTGTGGCAGCCCCCGGAGGAGCCCAACGGCGTCATTCTGGGTAAGGGAGCGGCGCAACTACCAAGATCGCAGCCCAGAGGGAAGGGACGACTAGGTGGATTTCGTCTAATTTTGTTACATGTCTAAGAGGCTTAAAAAAAACCCTGTCGACAGCCGCCCGGCGCTTTCCGAGTGGAGAGGCTTTGACCCTTTGTCTCCTGCGCTAAATGTTTCTTTGCAGAGTGAAATCACATTTTTCTAGCCCAGGATCTCTCCCGCTTGTTCGCAGTTCAGGGCAGGACCATCTGTAATTGAACTTCTCTCTGCTCTGAAATAACCCAGTTGTCCTGATTGCGTTTGGAAAACGGGCTAGTTTTCCGAGGAAGGTTCCCACCCAGGCTTCACTCCGAGGTCCCGGGAACGTCCCTCCTCTGCGGCAGGGCCTGCGCCCAGTCCCTGGAGGAGGTTCTCCAAGGGAACAGCATGCTTGGGTCCCAGGGAAGCGGTGCACTCGTAACCTTCCGTTCCGAGGGCCGGCTCTGATCACTTTGATGAGAAGCCTTAATTTGTCCTAGTTCCCCAGAGGCGGCAAATTTTGTTTTGAGAAATCATGGGTCCCTTTGTTTTTTCACCCTTTCCCTGTGACCAGTGAAGGGACTCAGACATGCCAGGCATTGCGTGCAGAGTGGGACGTGAGGATGAGATGTCCCCATCCTTGAGGTGCGGATAGTGCCGGGAGGGAGGGACGCTGGGGACACTACTGTGTGACCGGCGAGGGGATTGGAGGCTCCGCTCGGTGTCCTACACTCCGCCTGCCGGGTTCGGGAGATCGGGGACGGGGGCTATTTTGAGAATGAGTGGCTTCCAAAGCCTTGAACAGACGGCTGCCTTTTGCCCATGGGTGTGTGGACAGGTCCCAGATGGAGCCGTGGGCTGGGCTAGGCTGGGCCCTGCTGGGAAGACCTGGTGGGCGCGCCGGAGGTGGCCAGGGGCCCAGACCTTTCAGAGTGGGCCTTTAAAGGCCAGGCACCGGGCACGTGTATTCAGCACTGAAAGATGGTGTTTACCTCTGCCTCCCCGCAAACAGACCCGCAAACATGCCGGCTTGTGTTCTGTGATTTACAGTGAGGTCGTAAACACAGGCTCAGGAGTAGGCAGCAAAGCGCACCTCTTAGACCTGCTTTTGACATGAGGATTCTGAGATTTGGTGTAAAAAGGGGGTTCACGTCATTTAAAAAAAAGTGTGAAAATCTGTGCTGAGGGCCACAGGGAGTCACCCAGGGACCCTGAGCAGTGAAATGACATGATCAGACTTGTCGTTTAGAGGATGACTGGCAGCCGGGGGAGGGGACAGACGGCAGACAATTGCAGCGGGGCCTGGGGCTCGGGAGCCACCTGCACCTTCAGATCCGCTCTCTCCTGCTGCGGGTCCTGAAGTCACAGCTGGGAGCGCTCTGCTGGGGGAACAGCCCCGCCAAGCTAGGTGACCCCTGCAAGTGCCTGCTCCTGAATCACAGTCAGCAGCCAGAGGAGCCTCTGGCTGACGGCGCCTTGCGGATCCTGTGCCCCTGAGAAGCGCCAGCAGGCTTGTCTCGGGCCCTGGAGCCCTGGGCTCTGCGGAGCTGACGCCCCCACGAGGGTTCCGGGAGCCCACACAGCGCCCTGCCGACAGCCTTTTCCAGAACAAGCAGGTGAACTGTCTGACTACCCAGGGGACACCCCGGCATGCTGTGCAGCAGGAAATACTTCTACAGCACTAGACACGAGATTCTGACCTGTCACGTCCGGCCCCGGGAGTCTTCAAGAGCAATACTGTCTGCGAAGGAGCAGGCGTCCCGGGCTGCTGAGGGCGGAGGCATTGCCGCCCCGGGCTCCCTGCGCTGCCCCGGCCGGACCCGGCTGGTCCCGATGCTGTGATCACCTCTGCGTTCTCTGCAGCCTCCCGGCCACTAAGATCAGTGCTGACAGCAGGGCTCCCCGGGGGCGAGCGTATGGAGAGGATGCATTTCACGTGTGTTTCGCTCCCAGCACGGATAGACCTGCGCCCTGACTCTGCGGCTGTGACTTTGAACTGCGCACCCAAGGTCTTCCCTGCAAACGTGGCGAGGTTCCGGCCTCAGCAGCACCAGGCTGTTCCACTTGCCTGGGCCTTTGCCAGGACAGGCCGTCCCCCACCCCGGCCTCTCCTTTTCCTCGGAGGAGCTCATCGGTGGTCATCTCTGCCTGCAAACAAGCACCTCACTGTTATGGGGTCTCTGGTGTCGTTTTCCTTATCATGAAAACACACATACAGTGATAGTTCAGGTCACAAGGAGATAGCACTGCACACTCACCAGATTTAGAACCACAGGGCGTCTGATGAGCCCAGCAGAGGTGAGGCTGTGGGGAGACCGTCTCCTACACTCATGCAGGAGCGGGAGCTGGTACAGCCGCTCGGGGGACAGTCTTGCCTGCGGGCACCCGTGTCCCAGCCACCATCCCCTTCCAGGTCTTAACCCTGGAGAAGTCCTCACCCTGGTTCCCATGGAGAAAAGCGCAAGGTGATTCACTGCAGAGTTGATTTAAACAATAGAGAAGAAAAAAGGAACCGGAAACAGTCCATACCCCCCACTAAGGCGATGAAGAGGTGAATCGTGGGCTATTCGCACTGCAGAGGACATGACGGCAGTTCAAGTAATGAACAAACTCAGAAACATCTGTTGAGTGAAGAAAGCAAGTTGCAGAAGAGCATGTGTAGCATGAAGACGCCTCTGTGGATTGAAAACTCTGCAGCCGTTGCTGTAGGCCCTCTGTGGGCACATGCACCTTGCAGAAGTGTCATCTGGCAAAACCTGAAGATTTGTTCAGTGTCTGAGGAACACGTGGGCATGTGGTCTATGTTATTCCAAGTATTCTTCTGCGTATTTGAGATATTTTATCATTTAAAAAGGACAGCCATAAAAATAGCCCATTCGCTATACTTTTTTCTTTTTTTTAACTTCTTTATTGAGTAATAGTCATTTTACAATGTTGTGTCAAATTCTAGTGTAGAGCACAATTTTTCAGTTATACATGAGCATATATATATTCATTGTCACATTTTTTCGCTGTGAGCTACCAGAAGATCTTGTATACATTTCCCTGTGCTATATAGTATAATCTTGTTTATCTATTCTGCATTTTAAAATCCCAGTCTGTCCCTTCCCCCCCACCGCCCCCTTGGCAACCACAAGTTTGTATTCTGTGTCCATGAGTCTGTTTCTATTTTGTATTTCTGTTTTTGTTTTTTTAGATTCCTCATATGAGCAATCTCATGTGGTATTTTTCTTTCTCTTTCTGGCTTACTTCACTTAGAATGACGATCTCCAGGAACATCCATGTTGCTGCAAATGGCATTATGTTGTCGGTTTTTGTGGCTGAATAGTATTCCATCATATAAATATACCACAGCTTCTTTATCCAGTCACCTGTCGATGGGCATTTAGGCTGTCTCCATGTCGTGGCTATTGTAAATAGTGCTGCTATGAACACTGGGGTGCAGGTGTCATTTTGAAGTAGGGTTCCTTCTGGATATAAGCCCAGGAGTGGGATTCCTGGGTCACATGGTAAGTCTATTCCTAGTCTTTTGAGGAATCTCCGTACTGTTTTCCACAGTGGCTTTCCTTGCTCCCCTCTCCCACTCTTAATGGTTTAGATGTCTTCTTTTACAATTTTGTGTTTATTGTTTTTGTACTTCATGGCAGTTATCTCCTTTCCAGTAGCATCCTGCTTCTTTTCTATTTAGAGTAGATCTTTCAATATTTTTTTTAGCCTGGGTTTGGTGTTGCTAAACTCTTTTAGTTTTTGCTTGTCTGTGAAGTTCTTTATCTCTCCTTCTATTCTAAAGGACAGCCTTGCTGGATAGAGTGTCCTAGGCTGCGTCTTTTTTTCATGCAGGATTTTGAATGTATCTTGCCACTCCCTTCTGGCCTGTAGTGTTTGTGTAGAGAAATCAGCTGAGGGCCTTATGGGGGTTCCCTTGTAACTCACTCTTTGTTTTTCTCTTGCTGCCTTTAGGGTCATTTCTTTATCCTTGACTCTGGCCATCTCGATTATGCTGTCTTGATGTGGATCTGTTTGGGTTCTTTCTGTTTGGGACCCTCTGAGCCTCCTGTACTTGGATATCTGATTCCTTCTTTAGGTTTGGGAAGTTTTCAGTCATGATTTCTTCAAATACCTTTTCAATCCCCTTTGTTCTTTCTTCCCCCTCTGGAACCCCTGTTATGCGTAGATTGGCACACTTTATATTATCCCATAGGCCCCTTATATTGTTTTCATTGTTTGTTACTTGTTTTTCTCTCAGCTGTTCTGATTGGGTGCTTTCTGTTGTCCTGTCTTCAGGTCACTCATTCGTTCCTCTGCATTATCTAGCCTGCTTTGTACAGCCTTTAGGTCAGCTCTCATCTGAGCAAATGAGTTTCTAATTCTACTTGGTTCTTCTTTGTAGCTTCTATTTCATTTTTGACATATTTTATATCTCTAAACACTATTTCTTCTAGTTCCTTCAGTACTTTGATCAGTCCTTTTTTGAAATCTTGATCTAGTAGGCCATCCATGTCTATGTCCTTGATCGTGCTTTCAGGGGATTTCTCTTGATCTTTTAATTGGGAGTGGCTCCTCTGCTTCTTCATATTGCTCATATCTCTCTGGCACTGTGGCTTAAGGAGTATCAGTTATCTAGTTCTTCTGGAGATACTGTGCTCTTAATGATTTTATCGAGAGGTCTTTGTGTCTTTACCCTGTTTCGCGAACTCAGCTTGCTGTTTCCAGAAGCCCTCTGTTGGCACCCACGTCTGTGCTGCTCCCAGTGGCTATCGGCTAGCAGATTGCGCCCCCTCCCCACACTGGGTCAGGAGCTGAGCTCTTTCCTGGTGGGCGAGCGGGTCACTCCCCCTCCCAATGCCGCAGTCAGATGCTGCGCTTGGGCGAGGCAGGTGGGCAGATCACGCCCCCCTCCCAGCACCATGGTCAGGTGCTGCGTTCCTGCCAGGAAGGTGGTTGGCTGCCCGCCCTCTCCCGGCACTGGTTACTCTGCTGCTTTGT